AATGAACAAATAATAATTAATACGTTATGAAACGCATTACGATTTTTTAGTCCCAACGCGATACGAAAAGAAAAATTATTATAAATAATATGAAGCATACTATAAAGATTAATGAAAAGCGCATCTAAATTTGAAATTTGTTCATAAATTTTCATAGTTACTCTTTGTTGTTTTCCTATTAAAAATTATGAATTTGTATAAATCACCATGACAATGATTGAGTATCTGGAATCTAAAACTGCACTCATAGGGGTGAAGATTATAGTTATATAAGTTACAAATTCTTATTTTTCTATTTTATGTTATTTTAACAGTTATTTGAAATTTATTTCGTACTGATCGCAGAATAAGTAAGAATAGAATAAAGTTATAATAAATCACTCAGTTTTCATCATTTCTTATAAATTGTTGATATAATTTTTCAGAAAAATTTATAATTTAATTTTGGTTAATTCTCCAACAAAATATGAAATTTGGAAAAAATGATTAATAATCGTAGTACGTTTTCATATTTGTAAACATAATATTTTTAGACAATTCCATAAAAAATCCTGAAAATCACTATTTTGCTTTCATTTTCTGTAAATATTATGAATTTTCGTTTCATAGATTTTCTTAGAATGTTTCATAGTTTTTCTTAATTTTTTTTCCGTTAGGGTACCTATCTGTTTATCTTTATTAATATGCTTATACTTATAGTTACTTCACAAAAGAGTCAGTAGGAAGGTACATAGGACAAACTAATATGTAACATGTAAATATCAAAAAACAAATGCAACATTAAAACGGATATGTTAATTGGGATCCTTCCACTTTAACAGAAATGTCTTTTCAGGCAAGAATGCTTTTAATTTAACAAAAAATTAGGTAGATACATTTGCAAAATATTATCAAGAACGTCTCTCTATCCCTTACATACTATTGACAGGTAAATAATACCTGTATGTAAAAACCAAGAAGACGGTACATTACTTATTAACAAAAAAGTTAAATACTGCCACTATTTTAAGAAGTGTCAATTTTAACGGAGATAAATTATTTTACCCTGTTTGATGTCATTGATGCGCAGATAATAAAACCTGACGTTTTTCAATTTTAAATTCAATCAAACTGTTTCTATTAAATTATCTACATTTCTAGTAATTCAGGTACTTACAGTGAATCGGATACATTTTTTTTAAGGAGACTCAACTCGACGGCATTCTTTTCTGTGTGTTACGCGATTTCTGCGCTAATTGAAAACCGATTTAATAATTCTTTTTTTATTGGTTATATTTCAAAGGTGATCCCACTTAAATGTACACAATCAGAAGAGTATGTATTGTTAAGAAAAAACGAAGGAACACAGTACACACACTTAAATTTCTAGAAAATATTTCACTTCTGTAGATGAAAAATTGGAGGATGATAGAAAAATACATGATTGAAAAAATTAATGCAACCTCGTTTTTCTGATTAGACCTTTTTAACATTTTAGTTTAAAATTGTTTACTGAACTTAATTTTTATACAACAGTAATCAATATATCTAAATTGTAATGGTTATTATAAAAGACAAACACAATTTACTTAAAAGAAACGGATATATTAATAAATGTTTCAGCGTATGTACCTACTTTTATAAGTAGTTGTAAATTCTTAATGTTATGGTCATATCAGTGTATGTTCATAAAGTCATTAACCATTATTCCTTCCGTTCCGCGGAGTCCTTCCGCTTTTTAAGACGATGCCATGTGTGCAAAAACCGTTAAAAATTCATATCTATGCAGCACTACACACTTTTTTAACTTGTAATTATGTAACTGTATATGGTAGAACGAGTATTACCAGTTCGAGTTCAGCAGAACTCATAATGATAAAGAATGACTTACACTTAAAAATAACAATAAAAATATAAAAAAACTTGCAAACTAAGTCGAATTAACTTAAAGTAGGTTGGAAGTACCTACTACATAGCTTGCTGTACGGTTACTATTACTCACCTACATAGATATTGTTCAAACTTGCTCAGCCTATACACGAATATAATTAAAATAAAACAAAGTAAAGTTATTATTTCATAAAATATAAAGTCCTTAAAACAAAAAATATCTTTCAGAAACCTTCAATATTCGATTACACTACTTGAGGAAGGGGCAAATAACGCCTTGCCGCCTTTGATATAACGCCTACAAAATTGAATGAGAAATATATTTTACTAATGAGAAACTGTTCACTTTTACATATGTAGCAACGGTATAACACATATTATTTCTTTACCTTCGTCACTAACATTAAGATAAACTATTTTTTTTTATCAACATCTATGATATTACAGGTAGTAATATTTTCATTGCTTGCAGAAACTATAGGTACATTTTTAAATATTTAGTATAGCATGGATACGTATAAAGGGATTTTCTTTTTCGTAGTAGTTTTCTATAAATTTCAATACAATTTATGTCTCCATTTGGAGGAATATATATACATATATCACTTATTTGTAAAATTTATTTGCTCTTAAGTAAGATTCTGTTATTGAGCTCTTTTGTAGTCAATAATACTTTAAATTGCAATCGTTTTACTGTTGTTCGACTTGATGCGTCCGGTTTCAGTTGTCTTATAATAACAATATCAGGAAGTGCACTTGTTGTTTCGTTGCAAATGTAAAAGATTTTATTGATACGACAACATAATTGTTCAAGCGGATTGTTACCACTTTTTATTTTACCGACAGTATTTTCAAACGGATTTGCCTCATCGAGCCCCCATAAGGTAAATTTATTCGTAAGTTTATACATGTGTTAGGTTTGCTCCTTAAGATCCATATGAAAAACCCATAAAGTAATCCTCATTTTAATATCACCACTTCTTTGTGGTGGGATTTTCATGAGGAATCTACGGGGAAATAGCTATATCGACATGTCCCTCATTAGACACATAAGGCTCGCACGCTACATGGGGCATGTTCCTTATAAATTTTAATCGGGATGTAAATTTTGCTAGCATTGTTTCTTAATAGCTAAATTTTCGATATTGAGCCACCGTGGTATAGGTATACATTAAAATGGACCAGAAAAAAACCACTAGTGTTTCACGGCTACTTTTTCTTTAATGGGACACCGAAAATATTATTTAGGATGACAAAAAAAAGTCCATATCCAAATTTGAGCCCTTAAATTTTAATGTTAAGGGGTCTATCATCCCTAATTTATTTATATATTTTTACTCCAAATGCATCTTTCACTCAAATCTTCTAAACAATATATCTGAAAAATATGAACAAGACACGTTTTTAAAGGAAATTAAATTCGTTACAAAAAAGGTCTGATTGCAAATTTTCATCCGACAAACCGTTTCACGTAATCCTACGTTGAACATTAGTAAGTTTTTATGATTTTTAAGGAAATTAGACGCCCTACAAAAAGGATTCAATTACATTTTTCGTTAAAGTTATTCGAAGTTCAAGTTCAAGTAAAATTTAATTTATCGTTTTAGCTATTTTTTCTTGATTGATAAATTTGAGGTTTTATATTAAAAATACCATTTTTCTCAAATAAATTACCAAATTTATTTAAAATTGATAATTTATTTCGGTTTAAGAGCTTTTAATTGATTGAAATACAGTTTTATTCAATTTAACTAATTCCAAGAATAAAAATACAATGTTTTTTAAATGACCATTATATATTTATGATAAATATTTTTAAGTATGAACTTGCCTTTCTAATCTTCCCTCTCCTGCCCTTCGTTTTGTTTATATTTTTGAATTTGAGTTAGTACTATCACAATTAAAAGTAATTCATCCTTTGCTGTTCGCAAGCTGTTATTATAGATGTCAGCCAAACCAAAATGACCTTGAAATAGTGAATTTAACGAAAAATATAATAAGGCCCTTTTTTGTAGAGCATCTAATTTCCCTTAAAATCATATACCATTCGTTTTCAGAAAGAAATTGATTTATGAGTTCCAGAATTTAAAAGTTGGAAAATGAATTCGTAAGAACAGATCAATTTTCAACGCAAGATTACACGGAATTCAATTTCTTTCAAATACATTTGTATATTGTATATATTTATCAAACATATTTTTTAGAAAATTTGAGTGAAAGATGCGTTTGGAGTAAAAAAATACATAAATTCGCGATGATAGACTTCTTAATATTAAAATTACAGGCTCAGATTTGAATGATAACTTTCTTTTGTCATCCTAAATAATATTTTCGGTTTCCCTTTGAAAACAATAGTCGTGTTTTTGCCCAGTCTGGTATACATTCCCTTGTTTGATGGAATTCATGTTTTTTTTTCAGATTAATTGGTTAATTTATAAATGCCTTTGTCATTACTAATAAGTACAAGTATATTTTCCATGTTTATTGTTTCTCTTATTCGACCTTTTCTACAGGTACTACTAATTTCTCAAAATGTCAAAATTATCAACAGATACTTTGAATGATTATTCTATTACTTTTGCACCTTCAGGTGCTAGTCCTGTGAGATCGAGGAAGTGAACTGAATCCGTACTTATCGTCGTGAAAGCCGCAAATTGTTAATACTTCAATTAGTTTTTAATAGAACAAATTGACATGTTTTTCCTGTGAAAACATTAATTTTCTACCCATCTAAATTCCATATCTAAGTCGCATACAGCATATAGACATAATAACAGTAACAATTTATTATTTTTTGTTTTGGTCGTATATTTTGTTTTCATTACGACTGCTCTCTACTACCCCCAAGGAGCTCTTCAATGAGAAGTGTTTTATAATATCGTAACAATTAGTTTATGTGTTTACAACAAACGCTAGGTATATGTTGTATTTAATTACTCTAAGGATAAATCAGAAACCACGAGAAAATATAACACACAATTTTTAAATTATGAATGGTTTCATTTAGATTGTGGGATCACAACAATAAAAATTCAAATTTATCACAGATCAAACAAGAAATAAGAATTTAAACGATGTGTAGCTACAGATTCATGAAATTCTAAAAGATATTTAAAAAATTGCTAACATACCTTACAATGCCTTTCAAGAAAATCTCCCACCTTTTCACATGTCACTCATTGTTCATTTATACACTTCAAAATTTTATTATGAATGGTGTTTTAAAAACAAAAAAAACTTTATATCTTTCAACAAGCTGTATTCGCGACGAACTCGGCACTTGCGATTATATTGTGCCAAACAGCCGCTTTTCAGTTAGGCACCGTTTCAGTCTTACAGAAATTTTACGCGAGTGAACGCCAGCGATCGTAATAGCTATTCCACCTCTTCTTCAATCTACCTTCACTCCTTAAACGTCATTACCGTTTATTATTCTTTCACTGCCATTGCCAGGGCAATACGAGCCTTAGAATAATGATTATTCTTATTACAAAATTTTTTTTTCATCTTTTTCATGATAGTGATTGTATGTCGCTTTAAAACCATATTAGTTTAAGAATTTCAAACTTTTCTGAGTACCTACTACAGTTTACTACCACTAAAATTTAATTTTTTTTTCTTTTGCATTAGATCAGGGTTGTCCAACTGGCGGCCCGCGGGCCGCATACGGTCCGCAAAATTATTTTTACGGCCCGCGAGTACATTTTACTATGAATAAATTTATGTTACTAAATTAATATTATTGATATTGTTGCTAAACAATTACGGTCACAATGTTCTCATTAATAAATTACGAATATTTTAGAGTTTTATCTTTAGAATAACTAAATTAAACTAAAATAAACTATTTTTAATTAACATGAACTGACTACATTTATAAATTTTCTTGGCCCCCGAAATGTTTGGTGAAGAAAATATGGCCCGCGGGCTATGATAAGTTGGACAGCGCTGC